AGACTCCGCTTAAAGGAAAGGTGCTCAGTCTGTTTTTAATTTCTTTCCGTCGATTTGAGATTTTTTCCGGCTCCCTATCAATTGTCAACATAACATTTAATACATTTTGACATATTTGACATTTTTTTTACTGACTGGGGTGGAGCCTAAAAATCGAAGTTCGACACTTCAATCAACTTCAGTTTGGCGATACCGCGGGCATATAGGTATGTTTTTTACATAGTAAAAGTGAGGGGACTAGCAGTCCATATTTATATAGTCAAAGACTTCGATCGCTTGTAATTTGAGAAATATTGTGATATTTTAATATAGTAACGTTTTCGACTTCAATTAATCTTTAGAATTCATTATTATCATTATATCATTGTATTGCTTATTGACATCATATATGCCAATAACAACAATGGAAGATATTTATTATTAGAGAGCCTCTAATCAGAGTGGCGCCATACAGCTATAACTTTTGGTGGATAATTTTGTGTGTTGGATAGACTGAGATAGACTGGATGAAACATATATTTTCTTTCTCTCTCGCACTCTCACTTCTCTCTCGCGGAATTTGGAAAAAAAATGGCGTCACTTTTCTTATGGCGCCACTCTGATTAGAGGCTGTCTATCTATTGTTAACTGTATATAGTCGAAAACATTTTACGATGATTTTTTTGTAATATGATCAGAGAAATGTAGCTTATCTAATCAAATAATGCGCAATTTACTTTGAAAAATATAAAAAGAATTTTTCCTTCGCGGAACAACAATGTTTGTATAACGGTCACGTTTCCTAATGAACGAAGTTACTTTTCATGGTCAGACGATGTAATTTCATGCAACCTGCTCAAGACCGGGCCTCTTAACGTTGAAAAGTGGCCGTCTCTCGACGTGCTCCGGAACCAGAGCACATCCGCAGATAGGAAAATCTTGCCAGTGATGAAGCACGCTGAGGGCCATGCATTCTTCTCTGTCTGTCGGCGCACATTGATTATTTAGTGTATAAGCTTCTTAACATCAGCTTTTTATTTCATTTTGTAATATAAGTTTACAGAAAATAACCCATTGCCCATTTGTGGCTCTCGCGGTTAATAATAAATCCTGATGATTACTACTGACGGAGGAATGACAGACTGTTGAAAATCTGATATGATAGAAAGATCGCCAGAATCAACAAATCACCTAAGGCAACCAACAAATGCACATTCAATATAAATATATTCGCCGTTTGTCAGTTCCTCTCCAAGACGAACTCCAGAGGCAACGCTGTAATGGACTTATTGATCTCTGATATGACGGTCTAACAGGTCTAACTCATATCTAAGGACTAGTCGGGTCAATAACAACAGATGTTAGGATACTTTCGATAAAATATGTATTACTAATTAATTACGCAATAATATCGATAACGGATGCTCTAATAATAAACGTAAAATATAAAGACCTTTTTATTCTGGGGCTGATATTCATGTTTCCGGATCTTATTTCATAATTATCTTAAATAAAGTCTTAAAATTCTGCCCGGCTGCGAGATTATAACGAGATTGTAATTGACATAACGTACAATATATTTTACTAAAAAAATAATAAAAAATCTAATTTTGTATTCATGGTATATCTGGAATTATATATACAAATTTTTAAATTATAAGTTTTAAATTTTAATATACCATAATAATCGTTTTTATGATTGTAAATAATATTAATTCAATACAAATATCAGCAGCACATTAATATTGTAATTTTTTATGTAACAATGTTATCTATAGTATGTATTACGTTACATAAATTGAATAAGATTAATATTCTAATTTTACTGTTAGTTAATTTTATTTATTTATTTAATTTTTCTTAGCTTCCTTATATATCGAATAATTATTATATGTATATTATATAGTTTTCAATTTTATTGATTGCAAAACATAGATAATTTTCAAAGGAGGATGTTAATAAAGTTCGATTTGTGGCGCTTCTGCGGAACCTTGGTTATCCACAAAAAGTTGTTGTTTGAGACCCATAAAATAGTAAAAATAGTTTTATATCCCAGATACAGTAGGGAAAGTATAGATTTCTTTTATGTTATATCATGTCTCCTTTGTAAGTTGAATTTTCATATATCACGCTAAAACTTATCGTTAATCGGATGTACTGCAAAAGTTTTTTAATAATTGGTACTTAAAGGTTTTAAGACTCGCTGATCACGAATCTATTATTAAAAATGGCAAATTTTGGAAATAGGTGCTCAAAAATACACGCTTGACATGCAGTTTTGTACGTAGGCTTACAATAATCGAATTTTTTATCAAAATAAATTTGAGCGTGCTCTTTAAGGCACGCTGATTAAGAATCCAATAATTAAATGGAAAAAATCAATGATAGCGGATTCAAAATGGCGATCCAATGATAAAGTGCTACGTGGGTAGGTAAAGTGGGCTAAACTGAGCAGAAAAGTCCTCTATCATTTTACGATCTTCGCAGTAGTTATATAGTCGAGATATTAGTTTATAAAGATCGCCGAATGTGAACGCGCGGCGAGATACGGCCACCCATCGCGGATCACGGTCGCCTAGGCGCGCGGTGCGGGGTGGGGGATAATTGTTTTGAGGGATTAGTATACCCTGACGAGGTAAAAAACAAGCTAATTTTTAGGAATTTTTTTCTGGCAAAATATGAATAATACATGAAATCCGTTTAAACCATTATCTTTATTATAAATTCAAGTGTCTAAATAAATTTTTTGGTAAAAAAAAAATTAAAATTCCCACCGTAGGGCTTCATGTAGCGGAAGACCGTTTTTTTTAGAGGTGCAAACGGTGTACTTGAAATCTCCCGTTAGTGTAATCTGAAACAAAAAAAAAATACGGTCATAATCTACAATGTATTGTCTCTCGTCTGACGGAGAATTTTGTCGTTTCACCTTTTTGGCGTCAAAAAAAAATTCTTGAATTAAAAAAAAAATTCTTGAATTTTTTTTTTCGACACCAAAAAGGTGAAACGACAAAATTCTCCGCCAGACGAGAGACAATACATTGTAAATTATGACCGTATTTTTTTTTTATTTCAGATTACACTGACGGGAGATTTCAAGAACACACCGTTTGCACCTCTAAAAAAAAACGGTCTTGCGCTATATGGAGCCCTACAGTGGGAATTTTAATTTTTTTTTACCAAAAAATTTATTTAGACACTTGAATTTATAATAAAGATAATGGTTTAAACGGATTTTATGTATTATTCATATTTTGCCAGAAAAAATTCCTAAAAATTAGCTTGTTTTGTGCTCTCTCTCTCTCTCTCTCTCTCTCTTTTTCTCTATCGCGATATCACTTAACGGCTACAATAATAATCCTCAACCGATGGAGATATTTTACGTACCAATCTCTTCTTCGCGCTCGATGACGGCATGAAAGGGAAATGACTGCTTGCCGATCTTAATCTCGCGCTCGCCGTATTCCGGTGACGGTAGATTGTTCTTCCTGCAGAGGAGCGCCAGGATCTGCGTCGGTCTCTCGCGATCTCTCCACGCGTTGTAACCGGCGGTGCCGTAAGTCCGCGCGATTCCGCAATGCGCCCGATGCCGACTGTAAAATCGATTTTCGATGTCAATCCGCGTCACGCCGATCAGATCGTCGGCCGTCGTGGCGTCGAAGTCCCACACTTGAATCTCCAGCATGTAGTCCTGCGGAAAGTTCGCCTCGATCTCGAACACACTGCCAGATAATAATGTGCGCGTGAAATTAGGCTTATTAATTAATCCTTTTATATTTTTAATCAAAATTAAATGACAATTATATTTAAAAAAATAAATATTCGACAATTTATTTTTTCTTCCAAAAATATATTAATAAATATACTAATTATTTTTGTTTTTATAAAAGTAATACGGCATTAAAAATTAAATTTTATATTATTTGTTGTTACTTTAAGATATAAGATTGCTTGTTTCTCAGATATTTAATATTTAGAAAAAAGAAAAGAACGTATTAATTAACAAAATAATTCTAATTTCTGTTATATTTACGCTATGTTGTTAGGTAAAGTATACATAAAAAACCTGAACGTTCAATTTAAAAATAATTGTATACTAGTTGATCTTTTTATTTAATTAAAATCACAGAAGCTATATGCTTTAGAAAAACAAATTCGACAATTTATTTTTTAAGGCATTAGATATATTAATTATTTTAGATAAAAATGACATAACATTAAAAGGTTAAATTTTATTTTATTTATATAGAATAAGAGGAGCTGATTTTATATTTCTTGGATGTCGCGTCTTCAAAAAGGAAAAACGTATTGGTTACCAAAATAATCTTAATCCCTGTTACGTCCATGTTACGTTGTTACATGGCGCAGCTAGAAAACCCGATCGTGCAGTTTGAAAGCTAGCTGTAAAAAAGCCGATACGCGCGGATGCACAGATGGATATCGATAAAATACTTCCCGATAACGCCCGAAGGGCGCATATATAGCTATATCGCGCGGCGCGCCTTGGAAAAGAAGCTCGCCGGCTGCTTTTTGTTGACCTTACCGGCCAAACGTGGGGTTCAATTGATTGGGTATATAATTCTTCCTGTCGCTGATAGAATTTTTTCCCAGCTTCACGCAGAGATACGGGTCGGACTTGCCGCTGAGGGGATCCTTAGGCTGTAAGTTAATGCCTGCGCGAAAAGCAAATTTACTGTCGGCTCGACGCCGCCAGGCGGGAGCTTTCCAGTTTACCGTGTGGAGTATATAAGATGTACCGGAAAATCCCGCGAACAAAACGGGATCTCTAAATCACTCTTTGTGATCATATTTCAATCATCCTGAATCAACTCTCATCGTATAAGGAACAAAAGAAAGGAGTGTGCTTTACGTGTGAAAAAAATATTTCGTGATTTACGAGCGTTCGCTCGATAATTACTTTGACAAGTTCGGAATTAACTTTTGCCTCGGCAAAATTGAATCCGAGGCCATCTGCCGCGGTTTAGCAATTAGGAATAAATATCTCGGCGAATGTATAACTCGTATAGCTTTGAGTTTTATCTTTCTTGAAAAATCTGAAAGTTAATATAGTAGCGAGCGTGCAAAGCGCTTTTTCAAGCGAGTCGTTCTCTTTTTTTCGGCGCACGTGGTATAACACGGGGCGAGAGTAACCTTTTACAACGTAGAGTCTAACGAGGAGTTTAACAGGCTCTTGAGGCGGATAATCGTTGCACAGGCCATTAGCCGCGTCTCTGCCGCTTCTCGTTTTGCACGGGAGATTATCAGGATGCGGCCATCGGTATACAGAAACATGCCCCTGGAAATCACAATTTACAACATTTGACATAAATAAATTGGGCGCGCTTGAGGCGTTTAAGTGAATCTCCGTTATTGATTTGATTTGAGCGTCAAACACTCCCGTCGCCCTGATATTTACCGTACATACACGGAAAGAACAATTTTGCTGATTCCAGATCTGAAAATAATTTTTGTTCAATAATCAAAATAATTTTGTGCGAAAGTCAAAGTGATTGCTAAAATATCAAAACGTTTTATAGTAATGCTTATCGGTTTTAAA